GAGGAGGAGTTTTTCATTTTATTTATTATGTTAACATAACTCACTGTTTGTGAGTAACTCCGAAGTAGTGAGTTTTTAGCAGTACGCTGACGGAGGACAGTGAAGGGTGGTGGCTTGGAGAACAAGAATGGGGATGGCATTCCACGAATTAGGGGTGACTGAGGGAAAAAAAGCATGGAGAGAAGGAGAAAGGGTGAAGAAGATGAATGGGGACCAAAGCTGGATTTGTAGGTGGAGAGGAGGGGTAGCAGGAGACAAGGTGAGAAACAAGACATTGGATGAAGGTCAATGGGGGGTGGGGGGTTCAGGGCACTAAAGGGAAGGACAAAAAGTTTAAATTTGAGGTAGTGGTCAAAGGGGAGTCACTGAAGAGATTCAAAGGTGGGGTAACATCGTCTGATTACTACTACTTTTTTTGAGTCGGGGAGAGTATTTCAAATGGATTGGAGGGAAGTGATCCATATATGAGAGAGGCCAGAGAAGAAGAAGTGGCTAAAGTAGTCTCTTGATTCACAGAACTCTCTGATAATGCTGTTCAGCTACTGGCCCAGTGCATCAATGGCCTAGGGGCAAGCTATAATCTTTTGTACATGACCATCACTGTAATGGACTCCAAACACCCACTGCCCACAGACTGTTCTTGCATGTTGCCTTATTACACAGACATGCAACAGAGAAGGAATCTAGAGCACAAATACTGCTGGACAAGCTCTTGATCTGATTGTGACAGAGATCATTTTTTTCTATTTCATGGCTATGATGCGGGCTGAGAGGCATCATCATCATCTTAAGGCTTTTCCTCCCCTATATAATCTTTGTAGAGTTTAGAGTAGCAAAAATGTTCAGTGTGGTGAGCAGCCTTGTGATTGCCTCCAAATGGAAATAGAATGAACTCTCTCTCTCATTATGAAGAATTTCCCATTACTTTAAAGATAAGATCAGTCAGATATGTGGCAGTTTGTGGACTCAATATCAAAGCAAGACCCACGAAACATGCCCTCTTACCTGGCTAAATTTCATCCAATCTAGCTGATGGAGGTTCAGGGTGTGCTGGCACCTTAGCCACATGCAAGACAAAACATTGTCCCTTATGGGTATTAAAAGCCAGTGGGGTGACACTAGGACCATTATTAATGGAAATTATGACTGCCTTCTTCCATGAGGGCAAGTTGCCGACCATCCTAAAGCAAGTGGTGGCTAGGCCTCTACAGAAGAAACCATCTCTTGATGGTGGCAGTCACACCAATCTTGAATCTTCCATTTTGGGAGAAGGTTATTGACAAACCAACTCCAGCTTCACCTAGATTTCTCTACTGTCCTGGAACCCTATCAATCTAGCTTTAGACCTGGGATGCAGAGACTGAACTATTTCTTTGGTTATTATTATCTGTTAAATACTGACAGTGGACTGATTATCTCCATTTTATTAATGGACAGAGGCCAGGTTCCTTACTAATTTTATTAGGTCTTACAGCACTGGGTAAAAAAATAAGCAGCAGCGAGTCTCAGAGCCTGGATCAACTAACTTGGGCTCATGGGTCTCTGACTATGGAGCTAAAAAGAGCAATGCAGATTTTCCCGCTTGGGCTGGAGCCCAGGCTCTGAAACCAGTGAGGGGGATGGGTCTCAGAGTCCAGGCTCCAATGCGAGCAGGAACATCTACGCTACCGTTTTAGCCCTGTAGCTCAAGCCCAAGTCAGGTGGGTTTTTTGGTAGTGTAGACATATGCGGATACTGTTGATCATGAAGTGTCACCAACTCATCAATGGGAACTGGTAGAGGTGGACCGGGACCATTTTATAATGGCTCCCGTCATTTCTTTGGGGAGGCCCTAGATTGCTGTGAGAGGCACTGTTAATCTTCCTCAAGGACTTTCATGTACAGTGTCCCACAGGAGTCAGTCTTGTTGTCCCCTCCCATTTAGGGCATGCTATAGCTAGAGCCTAAAATGAACATTGTGGTTGTGGCAGCACAGGCAGCAGCTTGGGCGTACAATCCCACACGACTCTTGAGTACATATTCAAGTGACTAGCCCATGCCACCGTCTGTGCTGCTGTAGCCAGACTACTTTTTTAGGTGCTAACTCGAGCAGAGCTTCCACGTGTACATCTACCTGCGTTGGGAATTACACCTTCCAGCTGCAGTGCAGACATACATACACATTTAGGGTGAGTCTGCTAAGAAAGACAGGTCTTGGCTACAGTGACACCAGTATGTTGATGATACTTAGACATGATCCTGCAGTCTTTCTGTGCTTTGCTGAGTTAAGGCCCTGGATGGTTTAAACCCAATCCAGAAAAGATTATGGTGATAATGCTGGGCACAGAAAAATACCTTGAAACACTGATGAGGATTCTAACTGCTCCCTCCAGTAAAGGTTACCACCACCCTTGTCCAAGTAATGTACAGTCTCAGGGTTTTATGTGATCCATTGCTGATTATCTGATTATCAGCGGCCAGAAGGGGCTTTTACCATCCAGGAATCTGTTGCCTTACATCTCTGATGCACACCTCACTAGCGCCTTCCATGCCTTTGTCATCTTCAGGCTGGGATACATAATGTGCTCTTAGAATTACCCTCAAAGAGCACTTGGAAGATTCAGCTAGTGCAAAATGTGTCCTCCTGCTTCTCAAGTGGAGCAGGCCAATACAAACACATAACACAATGCTCTACTAGCTCCTGGCCTGTTTCCAGGTGCAATTCAGGTGTTTGTTATCATCTCTAAAGCCATAAGTGGCCTGGGACAGACTCTCCTCATCTATCTCGGCTGTTGCATTCCACCTGTATACTTTACTTATTGTAAGGCTAAACTCCAGGAGTGCGCAGCATGGCATTCTTAGGGGAGGGCCCTTAGCTGTAGAATTTCCTCCATCCACAATCCATCCAAGATTGGGAATTATTGGGAAACCGTGCAAGCTGCATTTGTTTATTCTACATCGTCTTAGTTTGTATTTGTAACCAGAGAGCACTTGTCTCATGAATAAATACAGGCTGGGTGGGTTTCATCTATACCAATTCTGGATTATACATGTTTGTTTGATAGGCACCAGGTATGACAACAGGAACACTATAAATAAATAAAATAAATAAATACTTAGTTCTTACAAAGTGCATTACAAACATTAACTAATTAATGCTCAAAAACACTATGAGAATAAACCAAAACAAAGAGGTTAGGGGATCTGACTAAAGCCACAGGGAACAGTCAGTGTCACTGCCAGGATAAGTGCACAAAAGTTCCTGGTCTCCAGGGCTGTGCTCAATCCACTAGACCATGCCTGTGTCTTTTTTGATAGGGCCTTTCAGTATGTAATAGAAACCTAAAAATAGTCTCTTTTCCTCAGCTAATCCATCCCCTCAGCATAAATGAAATAAGGAATTTGCCGATAAACTTTCCAACACAAACATTCTCGCTGTAAAAACTTTGAGGAGTTCATGCTTAGTGTTCTGGGGTAATTATTCATAAGTGTTTTGGGACAGCCGTTTATAAACAGTATGGAGCCTGAAATGGTTGAGGCACAAGCATTTCTGCACATTGGCCTCTATATATATATATATATTTGGATTGACCCCTCGTCTTCCACCATATTACATTGTCCCTTATTTAGGCTCCCAATAGGAGGACACAATTTGCTTCATTTCATCTGCTGAGTATCACTAAACTAACACACAAGAAGACTTATTAGTAGGAGGTTGTCCAGGAGGGAGTGAAGATAAGTAGTAAAGGTACTAACAGGATCAATGCAAACAGCATAGGCACATTCAAACATTCAATTCTAGTAATAGCACATTCTGACCCGCTTCAAAGGAAGACCTAATTCCTTTAATGGATTCATTACCCCACACCCACAGTCATTTTGCCTGTCACCTTAGTCTACAATCCTTGCCAGATTGCTACCAAAGCAGCAAAGCCTTCAAAGCTGACACAAACACTGCTCCCTCATTATCAAGAAAGATCCCCTGACTGTCTATTGAAGTCCCTGCACTGTTCCTGTCTCCATGATTTAAACCTGATCCTGTTTCCAAAGCAACTTCCATTGCCATCAAGTAGGAAGGCTGCCAATATTTTACCTTGCGAGATCTGCTACAGGCAGGTAGCATTGTTATGCCACTGTAAACAAACTCTCAGTACCACTATAGCCAAAGAGAAGAAAGCATGACATACAGTACTCTAATGTGAGGAGCATCACTGGCCTGATTCAGAATTCAGCTGGCATAAGCCAGGGTTAAGGTTTCCCCATCAGCAGAAAAGCACCCACCACGTCCGGTCTGCCAGGGGGCCCTGAGCCAGGCACTGAAGCCCCCGAAATGGGCTGTGTGTTCAAGGAGGAGGTGTGGCCATGCTACTTGGAAGATGTGTAGATTCAGCACATTGACTGAGCTCCTGAAGAGATTAAAGCTGCCCTTCCCAGACACAACCCATGAGGGAGGGGAGTGGTGTAGATACTGCCTGCCCTCCCCCTATGAGAGAATCCCAACTCCAATGTCTCTCAAGGAATCAAGCCCCATCTCTGAGTTCTGGCTATAAGCAGAGACTGAGAGGCTGGTTGAGGATTATTAAACTGCAAGTGAAACCTGCCTGGAAAAAGATCATAGACTGTATGCAGGAGATATTTAAGAGCAGTAATATCTCACAACAAGAAGAAAAATGTATTTTTCCAAACAGGCAGACAAAAATAATTCATTGTGACTTTTTTACAGATGTTTACAGTAAATTCAGTGCTGATGAGAATGCTGGATTGACAGTGCTACACACCAAAGCCCTCTTTTTATCCACAGACCAGGTACAACACACTTCCTCCCCAATGTGCTCCACGCATGTCCTTATGGGACCTTTCTACGGGATTAAGTCATTCAATCCCTAGCCTTCCTGCTGAGATGGCCAACAAAAGAATCAAAAGGAGGTTTAGATGACATGTTTTTATATTATGGATAGGAACTGTTATTAAACATAACCATTCTAATGATTCCGACAACAGTCACAGTTATTAACAGTTACCTGAAGGAATAAAAAACGTATAGCCTTGTTTCAACTCAATTCTTTGGCATAGTTCCACCCTGTCTCCCAGAAAGATATCACTTTGCTTTCCTGACAGAACCCATTCTTCATAAAGTTCCAGATTCTGCAGAGTAGGCGGAATCAGCCAGAAGATCTAAAAATAAAACAAAAGTTTAACTCTTACAAACAAGCAATGAAAATAAAGAGCTAACATTTTCAGCAAAGTTAAAGGATGGCAATGAAGTGAACATACATAAGCAAATGTATTTTCAACATAAAGTATAAATTTTCCATGTGCTGTACACAGAGGTCCCTAGCAGATTATCGCAGCAAGATTACTCATAATTGTCATACTGCTTCTACAAAACATCATCTCTGTAAACTGGAGTCCACTAAGAGCTTAATATACTACACAAGCCTGGAATATAATATTACTTTCACCTCAATTAGATATGTAGATGAACAATATCAGGAGCACAGAGATGTTCTATTTGCTGCACTTATTTCAATACACATAGCACCTATCTCCACTGAAATCTCAGATATGACTAGTTATATCTAAACCAGTATACCTAGAAGAATGTGGATATAGCTATCTATGCTGCATATTCGAGTACTTCTGTTTTTGAATGAATGTGTGTGCCCGTGCATATTCAGGCACATGCTTAAAGGATCCTGAAAACTAAGAAGAGGCTCAGAGATTCTGGCAACCTAAGGAGATGTGATATGGACACATGGACGCAGCTGTGGTATATGGCCAGTTACATGCTACACGACACTTCCAGTACACAGAAGCATAAAATAAGCTTTTTCATATCAAACTTTTCTGATATTTTCGTGCCCTGGAATATTCAATGTATTTGTTTCACAGACTGAAGGGTTGTCTCCCCTGTTTAGCAAAACTCCAAGTTCATCAGCCAGGCCAAAAGATTTACAGTTTGATCACTTACAAGCAAAAGTAAAAAACAAACAAACAAACAAACGAGCAGAGCAGGCCTCACAAGAAATCCCCAAAAATAAAGATGTTACACTGTCAAGTCTACTTACCTTCCCTCCTCGGAAAACGTGATACCACACTGAAGTGCCACCAAAATCAATGTGAAAATCAGTGAAGCATCCTTTCACGCTCATCAAACAGTACCTGAAAAGCACATTTGGGTGGGGGGAATACAAACATCAAGAATTACAATGAGCAGTCTGAAAACAACACTATTTATTTATTAATTTGCAGTGTAATTACGTAGAGATCTCAAACCAATGAAGCTGTTATATCTCTACAGACCCCTCATTTAGTCATCTTAATAGGACAAAAACAGGACTATAATTGGACTTCTGTTGGGAAAAGCATGCCTATAATTCTGTATGTTATTCAGTTGTCTGGAGAGAAAGCTATCAGTTATAAAAGGCTTGAGAAATGTTAAACTTAAGTTGGTCAAAAATAATCACCACGCCATTCTCTACTCCAGGTATGATCTCCTCCATTACTAAAAGCCATAACCTTCACCAAAAGTTGTGTGTTGACTGATTCAAAGAACAAAGTTTTGAAAAATCTCATCTGGATGTAAATCCCCTTGGACATCAATTACCTAACTACTACCACTGCAACTTTTGCAGGGGACAGAGTGAAGCTTCATTTGACAAAAACTGTTTTCATTCCCATTTTCAAGCATATCTGTGCGGAATAATTGAAGGTATCAGTTTGCAGTATTCCAAAGTACCAGATCACTGTATTTTGTGCCCTCTAGATCTATTTTTTCAGAGCAGTTTAATGTCAACATTGCTGTAAAGGTATACAACGGCTCTCAGCTCACTGCATGAATCTCTAGCCTTCAGCCACCATCTGTAACTAATGGCCGAATTTCAGCCGCCCTTCTCACAACAGGCACCTTTTGCAAATGCAGAAAACACACACCACTTAACCCACTAACCTCTTTTCCTTGTTCCAGTCGCCCTTTCATGGCTTTTTTTTTTTTTAAGTTGTGGAAACAATATCAGAAAGTGGTCAAAAAAGGTTTCATTTAACTGTGTCTTTTTCTCATCACATTCAGGTAGAGAATCTCAGCGGTATGCAGACGGCGTGCAAAAGTCCCTCTAGATGATAGGCTAGAAAGGACCTTACCATGTGTCTGCAGAAGGCTAGCAAATCAGAGAGACGTTGGATACATAAGAGCCTGCTGCCTAGCAACCCCATCCAGTGCTGGAGTTGACAGAATGATACGCAATGCTGTCATGAAGACAGTCAGTTTGTGTGCTTCAAAAAAGTCCTGTGCCTTCGTCTCACAATTAAAACCTCTCCTTGTACAATAATAATGCTTTCCTCTTACCCACTCTGGAATTTCAGCAGCATTTTGAAGCAGGGATAGAGATTTTTCCACCCTTGGAGTATTTCAGATACTTCAAAAAATCACAGCTAGCCAAGAAGCTGTCTAGACTCCAAATATGCTCCATTTCAAAATATGAGTCCTTCATTCCCAAATACATTTTTTTTTAAATCTCTCCTTTTATTCTCCTCTCCCAGGATGCTGCTGACTACACGTCAGATGGAAATTAAAAACAAAGAAGAAGCTTATAAAGGAAGTTTCCTTTCTTTATACCAGCCTGCAGAAAGTCAGATGTAGAATAATTGCTAATAAAACAAAAATAACCTGTGAATATATCAATTCAAAGGAGGTCTTGACAAACATTGGAAGATCAAAATTTTTAAATCAAAAACCAATTATTATAGACTCCATTATTTTCAGTCTCCACAAAATCAATTACAAACATACCAAATTAAAACAAATTGTCCAAGGCAATACTGCCCACCTAGGATTGCCAGTCGATAGTCAGATTCTTTGGATTGTTGCAAATGGCCTTCTCTATACTTCTTGGGCTTTTATTTGTTTTGGGTTTTTTTAATAACCTTCAACCTGCAACTTGAGGCTGTCTGTCTCTTTGTATTGAAGGTGGAAAAAATATATATAAATTAAATTTCCAGTTAAACCACAAAATGCTCAAAATGAGCTTTGCAACTGAGAACACACTGATGCAGAGATAGCTGGAAACATTCGACTTTTTTTTCTTTTAATAGCATGTTGTCTTGAAACTCCTCTAAACAGAATAATTTCCATTCCCAAGAAAGGTTGATTCAGTGAAAGATCCACAAGCGGTGGTTAATAAAACCTACAAAGCATTTGGAAAGATCAGTTTTTCTTTCCATCCACAACTGAAACCAATCACAAACGAGTTATTCCATCCTTAAATTTCTGTTGTTAATCTAACAGGGATGCTTCTGTCCAACACCAAACAGTTAATGAAAGCGTTAGGAGTCTGAAAAGCAATCTGCCGCCATACAGCAATCTCCCTTGTTGCCAGACTCTGGCACAATGCCTTTGCATTGACCTCTACAGCTTCCTCTTCCAATGTACACTGCAGTCACATGGTCTCCTCAGCACAGCTCCATGCTACAGCTAATCTTACACAGACACCACTCTAACCTCAGCTGGCAGCTTCTCAACACGAACGGCTGCTAATTTGGTTAGAGAGAGCTCAAGTTTTTAGGTTTTTCCACAACAAAATGTCCGCGATGAAAGGAAACTAGAAACAACATCTACTCTGCTTCTTTCAGTTACAGCTCTAGTCTCTGCCTTAAGCATTCTGGGCCAGAGCAGGTAATGTGCATGTAGGAACGCACTTTCAAGTAGGACATAGAGAGATAGAATCTTGTCAGAGTTACACACACACCCCCAATACAAGCACAAACAATTAATCAAGCTTTGTTTCTTCACAAGTACTGTAATTTCCAGTCCCTGCAGACTCAACTTTATCTCACTACACACCCCTGGTTGGGATTTTAAAATATGCAGCTGCTTATATCTAGTTTTTTAAAAAAAAGCTTCCCTTCCCTGCTAGAGTTTATTTTGTGCTCTCTCTGGTATCCTGAAACTGTTCAACAGTTAGTTGATGCACTATTATATTTTTATTTCTGAAAAGATCAGGGGAAATGTAGTACCCATTGAGACAACATACAGAGACCCACAAACTCACAAGCAAACAGAACAACAAATACAGAAACAGCACTAATGGAGAAAAACCCTTACGCAAACACAGGAACAACATGTAGACAGATTCAAAGCAAACACAGATACCATGTGCAGACACACAAATCCACATTCACAGCTTTAAGCCCACCAGCGACACGAGACACTCACATGCAGAGAAACAAAGGCAGAAACAAACACTGAGTTACAAACACACTTGAGAACAGAGAGATGCAGAGGCACATGCATAGAAACTCAGGGAGGCAGACTCACAAGCAAACACACACACAAGTTCATTACCCTGAGCTCAGTTCCTTCCTTTTCTCTCGTTATAAGTACAGCACAGCACACGGCTCTATTCCCTCTGGCATTACAAGGACTCCCCTGCCACTAAGCTCAGCCCATAAACCACTCCCAAACCCCAGCAGATGCTTCTGTTTTTGTTCGGGCCAATGAGAAAAGTATAGCTCACTCTTCCTTCCTCCCAGGAGCAAACCCCGGCTGGTTGAAATCCCTAAGCCTGAAACCGAATACCACAAAACCATGAGCCAACTACAAGTGCCAAACCAAAGAGCAGAAGCAGGCCATAGCTTTCTGTTTATTTGTTGGATTTTTTTTTTTTAAACAAGCAGTGGCTGGTGCTCTGTGTTCTGTGAGGCACAAGGCATTCGTGAGGGGGGGATAAGAGAGGCAGTTGGTTTATTTGTTAACAGTAATGTCTTTCCTAAACGAGGTAGCTCACACACACAGACCATTAATAATTATACTGATACTTCCAAGGGCGCTGACTCTTGCTGCCAAAGCTCATGGTGGATCCTAAACGCACAGCTCCTGACATCTCCCCTTCTTACTGTAGCCTTTACTTAGTGCATCTGAAAATGTGACATGGTAGAAAACAACAGGAAACAATAGGTACCTTTAGGAGAATTGTCAATAACTGCCTGACCCACTGAGTGACACTAACTCCCTGTAACTGAAAGCCACAAGTTACACCACAAGACAAAAGAAACCATTGTCACCCAGGAGACATGGAGCCAGCACTCCCAGCCCCTTTTGCTTTCCTGTACTCCACCCCACCCTCAACACCAGTGCACTAAAAGGCCCCACATGGCAGTGGCTATCCCTGTGCCCCAAGAGAGCAGCTACACAGCTCCCTCAAGGGTCTCCCTTCTAAGCACTGCTTCAAGTCCCGCAAAGCTGAATTCTTCATGTACTGCAGCCCACCTTTCCCTTCATTTGGACCAAATAAGACATTAGTTTGTAAGTAGGACATAAAATTCAGGCTGCACAGTGGTTCCAAGAAGCAGGAAGGGAGAACTGAACCCAGCTCACCAGCATACTTAGCGCTCCCGAAATCTAGCCATTAGTGTCTCTCCTGCATGACATGATGCTTTGCATACCGTCTTCCCTCCCCTCTCCCTCTCCCCCACAGTAAATAAGGGATCCCACCAGGAAACCTAACCAGACTCTCCTACATGGTAGGATGCATGCATACCTCCTGTTGGGCAGGATGTGCAAGATCAGTAACATTTACCATTATCAGGACAGTGGGTCATCCAGGACATTGTTTTCGATAGACATTAATTCTCTTTCCTATCATACTACACAAGTCAGAAACAGAGCAGCTAGATCCACCGCAACCAGCTTTTCCTACAGAAGATAGCCAAGCTTTCTTCTAAATCCAATTAAAACAAAGCACCACTTATAGCAAGACCATTAATAATTAGGAGGTTCCACACCTCATAGCTTCTGAAGGCTGTTCATTGCACACACCAGTGTCTCCTTGCATCCCTTCATTCCACTCCACAAGTTCCCTGTCTGCCACCCTCCCATTCCACTCTATTTCAGGAATTCCCTGCAACTCTCCCCTTCACCCTTCCTTCATGCCTGGGGCTGTGTCCCTCCTGTCCCCCAAAGCCAAGGTCTCTGTGTGGGTTCCACATGCCCATCTCCCCCCATACCAGAGTCCCTCAAATCCCCCTCCGCCAGGGGTTCTGTGTACCCCTATTCCCTCTCCCCTCCAGACCAAGGTCCTCCAATCTCCCCCCACCCCAGGGCCTGTGTGCATGCCTCCCCTTTCCTCCCCCATTATTATTTGTCTGGAAAATTAGTCATTCAAGCTGTCAACATGTTAAACTCATTTGGGAGGACTGGCAGAGATAAGATGGTGGTATTGTCATATTGGAAAGCGATAACGGGTGCTATCAACAAGTTGTTTGATTACAGACAATTGCAGAGGTGCTGGAAGCTGTGGCTGTGCTAACAGGATGGCAGGAGATACATGTGTCCCCCATTTTCTCCCTTTTGGTGTTCCCCAAAATCAATAGCCACTAACGCCTAGAACATTCTGTGCAAGTTTGGAATTGATCAAATGTGGCATTCAAAAGTGATCACATAATAGACAGAGAAATGCCATCAAGTTGAGAGTGTGGCCTGATAAGCTTGGCCAATTATTCATTAAGTATAGTATACACACAAGGTACTTAAGAGCACTTAAAAGATGAGATCCCTGCCCTGAAGAGCTAATGATCTATCTCAGACAGACAAAAACAAAATGGGGATAACAAGAGAAAGCCTGTATTTTCTGGGTGTGCCTAGGTTGACCCCCATATTTTGTAAAGCAACTGCAGAGTCAGACTTTCTGGACACACATACCCACAGCTCAGATTGGAAATTAATAAATAGAGGTACTTTCCCAAGCACTGCCACCAATCCAAACTCCACCCACACATGATGTCAAAATGAAATGCTGCTCACAGTGGATTGTGCGAATCTTCACAGTATGATTATTCCTCTTCTTGTGTGCTGTGACTAGTAAGGAAATAGTCATTTAAATGTACACCGTAAGATTTTGGTGTTAACAGCCCAGACAGGAACTGGAGAAGTTCATGCCTCTCAAGGTATGTCTACACAGCAAAGAAAAACCTGCGGCTGGCTTGTGCCAGCTGACTTGGGCTGTGGGGCTGTTTCATTGCTGTGTAGACTTCCAGGCTCGGGCCAGCTGCAGGTTTTTCTTTGCTATGTAGACATACCCTCAGCGCTATGAATTCAGGCTGCCTGTAGACCTCAGCACCACGGCTTATACTTGATATACATTTAAAAGATTACCATTGAGCTGTAAGAACCAAATAAGTCCTTTCAAAAAAAGAAATGTGCCTAAAATAGCAGTCCTGAGGGAATGTGCCAAATTGCCAATGTGCAACAACCAGCCCATTCTACCCTGGCAAATACTGATCATAAGGGCCTTTTGGTACCAGTCAAAGTGCAGCACACATCTTTATCTTTGTGACAATAGTATCTGTTTGAAATATTGATGGTTATTTCTGCCAGCTCTGTAATACTGCAAGTTCTGTGAGCTTTATATAATATGGTGTTTGAGATTAATGCATTAATCTGAGAACAAATCATACAATTGTAGGACTGGAAGGGACCTCAAGAGGTCATCTAACCCAGTCCCCTGCACCCATGGCAGGACTAAGTATTTCTAGATCATCCCTGACAGGTGTTTGTCTAACTTGCTCTTAAAGAATGATGAAGATTCTACAACCTCCCTGGGCAATTTATTCCAGTGCTTAACTCCCCTGACTGTTAGGAAGTTTTTCCTAAGGTCCAACCTAAACCACCCTTTCTGCAATTTAAGTCCATTGCTTCTTGTCCTATCCTCAGAGGTTTAGGAAAACAATTTTTCTCCCTCCTCCATGTAACAACCTTTTATAAACTTGAAAACTGTTATGTCCCCCCTCATTCTTCTCTCCTCCAGACTAAACAAACCCATTTTTTTCAATCTTCCCTCATAGGTCATGTTTTCTAGACTTTTAATCATTTTTGTTGCTCTTCTCTGGACTTTATCCAATGTGTCCACAGCTTTCCGGAAATGTGGTGCCCAGAACTGGACACAATACTCCAGTTGAGGCCTAGTCAGAGTGGAGTAGAGTGGAATAATTACTTCTCGTGTCTTACTTACAACACTCCTGCAATAGGGCTGCCAGGCGTCCAGGTTTTGACTGGAACACCCGGTTAACAAGGGTCCCTGGCAGCTCTGGTCAGCACTGCTGACCGGGCTGCTAAAACTCCAGTCGGCAGCACAGCAGGGCTAACGTGGGCTCCCTGTCTGCCCTGGCTCCACACAGCTCCTGGAAGCAGCCAGCATGTCTGGCTCCTAGGCACAGTGGTGGCTACAGGAGCTCCGCGCACTGCCCCGACCCTAAGTGCCAGCTCCATAGTTCCCATTGGCCAGGAACCGCGGCCAATAGGAACTGCGGGGATGGCGCCTACGGGCACGGGCAGTGCACACAGCCCCCTGGCCCCTCTGCCTAGAAGACGGACATGCCAGTTGCTTCTGGGAGTCACCTGAGGTAAGCGCTGCCCAGCTAGAGCCCATACCCCTCACCCCCTCCCGCACCCCAACCCCATGTCCCAGCCCAGAGCCCCCTCCCGCACCCCAACCCTTTGCCCCAGCCCAGAGCCCCCTCCCACACCCTGAACCCCTCATTTCTGGCCCCTCCCCAGAGCTCACACTCCCAGCCGGAGCCTTCAACTCCTCCCGCACCCAAACCCCTGCCCCAGCTCAGTGAAAGTGAGTGAGTGTGGGGGAGAGCAAGTGACGGAGGGCGGGAGGATGGAGTGAGCGGGAGACGGGACCTTGGGGAAGGGGCGGGGCAAAGATGTTCGGTTTTGTGCGATTAGAAAGTTGGCAATCCTATCCTGCTAATACATGCCAGAATGATGTTTGCTTTTTTTCAACAGTGTTAAACTGTTCACTCATGTTTGAAATGCTTTGTTATCCAATAGGTGTGGATAAGAACTTTTGCCTATCAGCCTAATATTCTTTTACTTAGAATAATTATAGTCATATAACTGCTTTTCATACCAAAAGCAATTAATAAACAATACAGAGAGAGCATCATCAGAAATACAGTATGCTGAATATAGTGTCAGCCTGTATTCCAGGATCACCACCAGTTCCACAACCCATTAACAGCCCCTCCACACAGTGGACAAATTTCTGCCACAAGAGGCACACCCCAGTTCATAATTAGATTCTAGTTCAGCAAAACATTTAATCACATGCTTAAATCTATCCCTATTCAGCAAAGGGATGAATCTATGGGGATATCCTGATGAAACATAGCCTAAAAGAGGAGGAATAAGACTGACCCTGATACAGGGTATGAAATCAGACCAGCATCTTATTTTAGTGAATAGGTGAATTATTTGTATGGGAGACACCTTTTTTTGTTTTTAACAAAAGACA